TATTGATACTGCTGACAGTTGTTGAGCAGCTGAAAGTTCTGAAAGTCATTGATTTCAAAGAATTATGCTCAACTTTGAGCTTGAATCATAAAACCTATTCAGGAACTGAGGGTTGTTTCATCATTAAGGGTTATTTCGACATCCGAAGGTTACTTCATTGTTTTTAAAAATTAAGCTCACCCATTTTTTTTCTTGACAAATGCAACGAGAACAAAAACACCTCAATGACATGGAAAGAAAGACTTTTCATGCCAAGGTTTTTCTTTGAAACTAACAGAATCAGAACAAAACAATTTAAAGTTTGTATTGTTTTTTTCATAGTTTGTTCTCTGAAAAGAGTTCATCGCTTTATCCTAATTTCACCTTAATTTGTCATGCGCATGTGGTACTTGTCTTAGTATGTCTGCTAAAGCTGCCTAGGGCACAAATGTTCCACTCATAGTGATGCATAAGAAGTGTGTTAAAGGTTACAGGTTTCCAAAGTCTTTAATGGGAAATCTAATGTGACGGTGTGCATCCAGCTGTGGGCATAAGGTAAATATGAAGGGCAACGCTAAATCAGCCCATCACATGAACTGTTGTGCATCACTGGCTGATGTCAACATGAAGGATCTCTCACATACTCATCAATCAAGAATTGGTCAGTTGGCTATGAGAATGGCCTTGTTCTCTCACATCATGTCTAAGAAGTAAACCAACATGGGCATTTAATATTGATTCAGTCTATTTTAGTGATGATGTGTGCATGTGAGTGTGAGACTGAGAGTAGACTGGAGCATTGCCTTCAGCCGTAGCTAATGTGAGATACATACATAAACACAAAAGGCAGTTAGGGAGGCAGCAGAGATATTTCATAATTGGAGAAAGAAGTTACAAATGACAAGCGATAAAACAGAAACTAATTAATGAGAGTAACCGACACACATTTCAATGAGTAACATCATCATCTGTCCTATAAAGAGCAAAAATAACTCCAATAAACAGACGCTCACATACAAATAAGTATTATTAAAAGTAATACATCAGCCGTTTTATTTCTAGTCCCTCACCCCCATATGGCTATTAAATAAAACATTTTTAAAGTTATATTAAAACTGTAAAACACACTGACTCTTTTTAAAAGTGTAAACATATGCACACCAAATAGAAACACACTAAAATGTAAAACCTAATTGTTTAAACGATAAAAATTATTTAATGTATGAGTAAAATCAAATTTGAGTGTGCTTTTTCTACATTAAATTCAATTAATGATTAAGAAAATAGAAGACAAGCTTATTTCAAGAGTAGAAATGACAGAATTTACTGTAAATGGATGAAAATAAAGATTTTATAACACAATGTGACCAAAAATTGGTTTCACTTTTTTATGGCTCTTCTATAATTCTATGGTGCTTATTATTATCGTACTTTTTATTTTCAGGTAGCATCAGTATTTTGGTGAATATTTAGGTTGGGTAATGTTTAGAACTTCTATCAGTAATTATGAAATATGAATTGGTTTAATACAGATTCGTTTTTTTGTACAAACTTGCATGCTTTTTAAAAGGTATTTTGCTTTTGCAAGGATGGGAACATTCTAGAAGCTTCTGTAACATTTTGGAATATTCTGTAATATTCTAGTGCTTTCTGGAACATTCCAGAACATTGTGGGACTAGTCATAAAAGACAAAAATCATCCAGTCTAAACTTCTAGATGACTCAGTTTTGGTAACTGCTTATGTTAAAGTATTATGCATGTACCATGTATTTTTTTTATATGATTTGTATGCTTGAGTAATTACAGATTGTAGAATTATAGAAAAGTTTATGTGATTTTCGTATTCAGCATGTTAAACTTCATAAAGAAACATAAAAAATAAAAGCAAAACAAAACAAAACCTTTATAAATGGTGTATGATGACAAAATGTGTATTATAATATAATATAATATACAATGTTTAAGCAACAAGAGACTGTGCAATATTATGAATATAGCAATGTCTAAAGGGGACCCCTTCAGCCGTGACTGTATTCCTTCCGCTGGAAGATGACGGCTGCGTCTGAAACCTCAGGCAGCTGCCTTGCTGCCTCACTGCCTTGTCAGTCAATGACTAAACAGACAGCATCTCTGTATGAAAGTACCTCTTAAGTAAACAGCTTTCAGACAGGCTTCCAAGGCACCATAACATCCTGTCTAATGATCTTGAACAAACTCAAATGAGCTTTAGAGATAATGGAGCAAATATTTGTTGTCTACAATGCTTTTTTTCTGGTAGATCCAGATTTGGATGTACCGTGCTGCCTTCTTACTAGTGTAATTTTAGTATTATTTTATTATTATGGTTTTCATAAATATGCTGAAGTAGATTTCATTTTATATTGTTGTCATTTTTAAATATTTACGTAAAATATTTCTATTTTTATTTCAATTTGAGTTTTTGTTTCGTTTCAGTTTCTATTTATTTCCACCATGCTATTTATTTATATTTTATTTCAGCTTTTGTTTCCGTTAACTTTTTTTTTTTTTATTTTTTTAACTGTTTTAGCAGTAATAACCCTTCTTCTTACCTCACTGAATAAAAATGATTCATTGAATTTACAAAAAAATGTTAAGGTAAGTGGTTGCAATCAATTTATTTTAGCTACATTTAAATAAACAAATTTAGTTGACTAACGTCATTTTTAAATATTTACGTAAAATATTTCAATTTTTATTTCAATTTTAGTTTTTGTTTCGTTTCAGTTTCTATTTATTTCCACCATGCTATTTATTTATATTTTATTTTAGCTTTTGTTTCCGTTAACTTTTTTTTTTTTTTACTGTTTTAACTGTTTTAGCAGTAATAACCCTGCTTCTTACCTCACTGAATAAAAATGATTCATTGAATTTACAAAAAAATGTTAAGGTAAGTGGTTGCAATCAATTTATTTTAGCTACATTTAAATAAACAAATTTAGTCGACTAACTTTCAACAAAATGTGTTTATTTAAATGTAGCTGAAATAAATTGATTGCAACCACTTACCTTAAACAAATTTAGCAAATTCAATGAATCATTTTTTTTTATGCAAAGGCAGCATTTTTCAGTTTACATAATTAATTAAAAATGGACACAATAAATTGCCCTAGTTACTATTGAAATTGCATTTAGTTATGAAAATAGCATCTGTCCTATTATAAAATATAAAAGTAATTTGTCTCTGGATCTCAGAAGAGCCCCTTCGTTTGATGTGCCACTTATTTTGTTTGGGAGGTTTTGAAAACATTACTTTTAGGGTATATTTAATCAGCTGATTTCCTTATCCAGCAACCAAAGAGCAAATCAAGCCTGTTTACCATTACCCTCATAGCTTATTTTCATTATATGAACATGCAAACTCACAGGATTTTGGGAAATAATAGAGTTTATGATGCGTTTGAGCTTTACATTTGAAAGGAGCTGAGGAATGTATGACTCCATCTGACCTTTGTGGCTCTAATTAGAGGTCTGGAAGATAACTAATGATCAAATACTCCGTTTTACTTTTGTGTCTTATTTAGTCTTCTCCCTTGTATTACAAACTGTTCTCACTCCCGAGGTACCAAACACAGTATTAGGGCAAAGAGCTCTGAATGTCAAAATGTAGACATGCCCCTTAGCGTCTTTAGAGTCACGCAGGTTTGTTTTCAGTGAAAAACCTTTGCCTTTATTACACTGACGCAAAGGGCATCAAAATAAATTTTTAATTTTGGATTCAGCAATATTAATTAGTTTGCAGTGATTAATATTTTAATCTGTTGTCTTCTCAAGGAGCTCTGCTCTATTGATGTGGAGCTGTTTTGTTAGCGTTTTCTTTTTTAGTTGGATGACTAAAACATGAACTTTATCAAAATCAACTTTCATCACGACAGTCACTCTTAAACTTCAATCCACGCTCAAGGCACTACACTGTCCCTGACAAAACATGACACCCCAGTGGAGCAGAAGTACAAAAACATCAGCTTAAAACAGCAACCGTAAAGCCTTAGTTAAAACAGAAACCGATATCCCAAAGTATCACTACTTTTTCAATTACATACAGCTTTATACTGTACAGCTAGTCATTTAAATTTATAAGCAGGATATTGTGAAAAATTAAAGGAATACTTCACCCAAGAAAATTAAATTAAACTCACCCTCAGGTCAGCCAAGATGTAGATGAGTTTGTTTCTTCATTAAAACAGATTTGAAGAAATTTAGCATTACATCACTTGCTCTCCAATGAATCCTCTGCAGTGAATGGGTGCCGTCAGAATGAGAGTCCAAACAGCTGATAAAAACATCACAATAATCCACCAGTAATCCACACCACTCCAGTCCATCAAGTGAAAAGCTGCATTTTTGTAAGAAACGAATCCATCATTGTGGCATTTTAACTTTATTGCCACTGCTGGCCAAAATACTAGTCCATAATCTATAATAATGCTACCTCCAGTCACATCAAAACAAATGTCATCACTGACATATTTGCTTTAGATTGTTTTTGCTTGTAAACAGTGCCTGATCTGTGGATACATCATTTCCTGATTCTGACGAGATTACCTTTTCAGTGGGGAACTCATATTTTAGCTGGAAGCAATGGTTTGAGGTTAAAAGCACCTTAATGATAAATTGTTTATTACAAAAACACATCTTTTTTTACTTCATAAGATGTTAATTGATAGACTGGAGTTGCGTGGATTAATTATCGTGATGTCTATATCAACTGTTTGGACTCTCTTTCTGACGGCACCCATTCACTGCAGAGGATCCATTGGTGAGCAAGTGATATAATGCTAAATTTCTCCAAATCTGTTTGGATAAAGAAACAAACTCATTTACATCTAGGATGACCTGAGGGTGAATACATTTCCAGCAAAAAAAATAATAAATTGGGGATGAATTATTCATTTCATGAAAATATAAAAATTGAAAATATGAAAGTGTCAGTATTTAACACCTTGGGAGTAAGAAACCTGTTGTATATGTGAGCGCAGTCTGTGCAGCATGTGTGTATTACCTGAGTAAAACGCCAGTGGAGCTTCATGCGTTTAGCCACAGCATAGCTGCACTCAATGAGCCGTGGCCGGCCATTCACATCCACCAGGCACTTGTTGTCATCATCGTCAATGGTGGGGCTCAAGACGCCCACGAATAACTGCTGAGTGCTGGTGTAGTATACATTCTGCAATGACAGAGCAGACTCATGAATAAAACCAGGCTTCAGAGTAAGCTTGTGAAAGAGAGCAAGTCTGGCAGCACTTTACGTTTATAAGCTACCGAGGAAGATTACAAGGACAGGCAATTGAACCGTTCAATACGATAAATGTCTATATCTCATGTTATGAGACATCTCCATGCAGCAGACCATGAAAACACACAAGCTAAAGGTGTGATTTCAAAACAACTCAAGATGGAGGGCACATTTTAGTGCTTTCAAACATATTATGAAGCATTCTGGTGCACTCTGAAAGTAAAGGAAAAAAGGGTGGCACACAAAATAATAGTGCACATAAAGAATGGCTCAGATAAGAAAGGGATAAATAAATAAAAAAATAAATACAGTACATGAAAAAATATTAACTATTCTAACAAATTAACTATTATTATTTTTTCCTAAAAACTTGCTCAGTAGCGCACCTGGTATAGCATTGCACTTGCGATGTGGAGAACTTGTGCACGAGTCCAGTGAAACACGAATCACGACTCTTAACAAAACCTCAAAGAATCGTAAAAAGAAGCTAAAATTGTATGGTTGCTTCAACAAATGTGTTTTTATTAGTGCTGTCAAATGATTAATCGCGATTAATCGCATCCAAAATAAAAGTTTTTGTTTACATAATATATGTGTGTATACTGTGTGTATTTATTATGTATGTATATATAAATACAAACACATGCATGTATATATTTAAGAAAAATATGTTATGTTTATATATTAAATATATTTATATATAATATAAAATATAAGAATATAAATATATAAATGTGTATACATGTAAATAATTTCAAAATATATACTGTATAAGTGTGTGTGTGTGTATTTATATATACATAATAAATATACACAGCACACATACATATATTATGTAAACAAAAACTCTTATTTTGGATGCGATTAATCGCGATTAATCGGTTGACAGCACTAGTTTTTATCTCACTTTCGGTTAGGGTTTGGTGTAGAGGCACCATTCACCATATTAATTTGCTGTGATGCGTACAATTTTTTTTTTTAAATACGTATAACTGTTAAATCACGTATAACTGTTTCTGAGATAATTTATCTCAATATTTAGCACCAGTCACTGGGCATTTCACTTTAAAAGTGCAATGAAATGTGAACTAATGGGATGGTTGCAGGATTTGATGTGACAGGAAATGACTACTGTGCCACGGAGGGCATGCCAAACCTTTCAAAGATTCAAAAAGAAGCACTGTTAATTGTGTTGTTGATGCAATTTCCTGTGATGGAAGAAGTGTCAATGTGTGAGCCAGAAACACCAGCAGCATCTGTCTTAAGAATCACCGGCAGTCACTCCAGATGGCCTGCAGGAGCTCAAACCTTCAATGACATGTAGGATGAAGAGACTTGGAAGCCGTTAGTGTGTGTAGTGCATGTTTCTGTGTGACTGAACGTGTGTAGAGAGAAGGTGAGCATAAGGAGAGCAGCCAAGGGGCTAAGGAGCATCTGGCAGACATGTCAGGCTCGTCTCTCCAGAGCCACTCTGGCCGAGGCAAATCGCTGTTTAAGTCACAAACTTAACATTGCTTGTTGTCTCATGCATAAAAAAGTATTCACCCATTAATTAATTCTTCAAATGTGTCATTATAATGGAAGCTCTGAAGCGAAAACGCTGTAGAAAAGTGTGGAGTGCTCCATTTGTTGCTCCTCAAGTTTGTAGAGAGCACTGAGCAGCGGATTGCAATGCAGGTACATTTTTCTCCTGAAGGATTTTCTCGTTTAAAGCTCAGAGAGTCCTCTGGCAAGCTTTAGTTTCAAAAGGTAATATTACCAAAGTGTTGTAACTTAAAACTCTTTCTCTTGGCGATATTTGGGTTGAGAACAAGACTTCAGGCTTTCAGACTAGTCCCAGGGTGATACTACAAATTATTCTACTCATATAAAGGTAAAAAATAATTGAATACAAAGAAAATAGGTTAATGGTATGGTGATGATTCACTGATTTAAAATAAACCTGCTCATAAAGGGGGAAAAGGTCTGTAAAGTCAACATGGAATCAAAATGAACATTTTCACTTTCTTAAAATGGTACATGTTCCTGGACTTACAGTATTATACAAATCTTTAGTTATTTAAAAAAAAAAATCATTGTAATTATCATGCTGGTTGGAACTGTTAATAGAACAGCACCTCAAAGGGAAACCACACCAACCACCTCATGTCCTAATGATAACTTACATTCTCAGTCCACCATGTCAGGTGTAAGTGCTGCATTATTGTAGTAAAAATCATCATTTATGACTCTTTCCTTTGTAACTGCAATTATTAATTTTGATGAACAGAATTTACATTCAATATATTTTTATATATCTGTGGTGTTTTGATGTTCATTACATTTACGATCAAATACAGCTGTCACATAATATTTGGAGTCTTGATCTTGTGGTCTTGAGACTTCTTATGATCACATAAACCTGGCCCTGGCCTGGTCTTGGTCTGGACCGAGGTCCTGACTGTCACTGCAGAATAAAGTTTTTGTGTCTACGGCACTGTACCATCTTTTGTGTTATATTTGTGTGTTCTATTATGAATGTGAAACAAAACCATACAGTTCAGAGACTCGCTTCTTAAAAGAATTAACATTTTTCTTCTTAAAAGTTCTTAAAAGACTATTTTAATGACCTAAAGAACCTTCTTCCACTGTAAAGAACCTTTTGTGAAATGGAAACGTTCCATGGATGTTAAAGGTTCTTCATGGAACCATCAATGCTAATAAAGAAATTTTATTTTTTATAGGCAAGTTAAATACCTCTTGCCATTTATGTCTGTGACTGGTTATGATGCTCAATCTCTGCAAAAAACAAACACTGATATAACATTTTTGAGTCAGCGGAAGTAGAACTAAATGCAATGCTGTACCTATTTCACATTCCATTAATCACGGAAGCCATATTCATAATCTCAATTATTATTTCACTTAATTGTCAAGCAAATGCCTGTGTCAAAAATGACAGCAGGTTGCAGTAGCTGTCACCTAGCACTGCTGTTTCACAAATCTTTCCTGAACGGCGTGCTATTCTCAGAACGGACGGAGCGAAGGGTCTGAACTAATCTCCTTGGGAACAGTTCTGTCTCGCCATATTTTACATGTTCAGTAGTGTGTTCATGTGTGCACAGGTTTGAGACGTTTGCCAAGAACTTCCTGTTTTTGTATGAGATCCATTGTCAAAAGAAACCCCATCCCTGCTGTTCAGAAGGACAAAACAAGTCTGCCTGCACTGTGTTTTGCACATACTTCAAATGTTAAGAAAAGTAACACCTTTGCAGAGAACCAGATGCTGTTTTCTAAAGAACATTGAGATGTTAGATATGGAAATAAGTTGTTGTTGTTGTTGTTGTTGTTGTTGAGGGGCCATCGTATCTCTGTCATTAGCATCAAAAGTGTCTTTAGCTATTTTATTTTGTATCCTTAAGATGAAATATGCTGATGTGGGCACATTTTTGTGAAATCCCCCTCAAAATCACTGCTATGAGCTGAGTCCTGATTATAAACTCCACAGGGGCCTTCTGACAGGTAAGACTAAGCCAATCTGGATGTGACAGGAGCAGAACGAAAACCGAGAGAGAGAGAGAAAAAATATGACAATTATTGCCTACAAATCATCAACCTAGCACAAATAGCATATTTCACACATCAACAAAGTGCAATATGCTATTATTCATCCTATACAATGTTCTGTCAGCAATTCAGACTTCTAATTTGATTTCTTTCATAGACTAATAAAAAAATATTTTATTTTTTGCCTTTTTTTTTTTTTTTACAAGTCCCTTGACATTTGTCGCTATTTTCTTTTCAACCCGAAATGGATTTTATGTTTCCTCCTCAGACAAACTGTCATTTTTGCCTGGCCTTGGTAAAAATTCCAGATCTTCTTCCTCTAGTTTTGTTATATTTTGAACTTATACATATGCAGAAGTCTCGGCTTTTCACAATCAATAAAACAATAAAAATTGTCCCGAGTATAAAATGTACACTTGTATTGTAAATCTGGATTTGTAAAACATTGACAATGCTGTAATCAGACAGTCACATACTGCATTGGTCAGTGCTCACACTGGTTAACTAGTTATTAAAAATTGTAATAAAGCCATGCAAATTCAGTTTAGATATGATTTTATTTGATTTTATTTGATTTTTTTAAATATATATAATCCTTTTGTGATTTTGTGGTTTTCAATATCATTTTATGCAGTTAATCATGCTCTAACGGGGATAATTAAAGCCTTTGTCATTTTCAAATCATATGCTGCCTTCATGTGCACCTGGGAAATCGGAAGATACAGCTTGTCACGCATTCAAGTTGGAAACATAACACAGAAGTAGACTAAACAAAATAATTATATTGTGAACAATAAACACAAATACTACATCTGAATTCAAAATGATGAATATTATTAATTTATGTTACTTATTTACACATGGTATAAAAAACATAAAGCATCAAGAAAGCCGAGTGATTTTAGACTTGTTGTCTATCAACTGATCTGTACATCATACCTTTAAAATTAAACTACAGCATGCAAAATAACTTTCAAAATCATCCATTACAACAGACTCCTACAGATCGCTCTATAAATAGATTACAGATATTATAAATTATATTATAGATCAGTGTTTCTGCAGTTTCAAATCAACACAATTAATAGTACTAATAAACTGAATGTGTTTTAAATACACAATAACCAGGTTTATATATTTATCATTGTTAAATCTCATTAAATTAAAGTTAAAAAATTGAGCTCATTTAATATTGCTTGTCCCACTACTAGCCATTTTTATGCAAAAATTTATTTTTTAATGTTAAAACTGTATAATCCAAATGAAGGTAACTTTTTTATGCAATTCAAATACATAAATCTTAAATTTAAGCCTAAATATTTTTGGGGTTGTATGCTTGTGAACTGCCAACAAATAAAGCCATGCAAATTCAGTTTAGATATGAT